TGATATATTTAAAAATGAACAATACACGACACAATCAAATGATTCTAATAAGCATCTAACTTTTTATGTCGCTTTCTCTTATTCCATCCTTTTAACGATATAAACAAAGTAAAGAAAGAGTTAGTTTGCTCATGCCACCATCTCCTAAATCAATATATTTCAGCATTTTGCCATTTAGTTATTTATGCAAAATGCTTTAGTCCGTCTCGAGAAAAATGCTCTCGTCGTCAATGTCATTCTCACTATATTATTACTAGTATAAGTGATGATTGCCAACATTACTAATACGAGAATTTAAACGAATAAGTTTACACTTGGAATAGAAAACATTTTTTTATAAATTTAAAAATAAAAATCACTATTAAAAATTGGAATATTTGCAACAAAAAATAAAACAAACAAACAAATAAATACAAAAATTAATATGTTAAAATCAAAGTAAGATCAAAAATTTCAATTTAAAGATTGATATATTGTTTCGAAAAATTCAAAGCTAAATAATATTCTCCCCCTTTCTCTACCTCTCTCTCTCTCTCTCCTCATACATATAAATATAACTGTCAATCTCATCCTAATGTCCGAATCTTTTTTTTTAATGCTAGATTTTCTCCCCTCTTTTTTTCTTGCCTTATTTCTGATACTATCAATCAAATGGTACATAAGAACATTTATGAATTCGGTTAACAAAATTACCCTTCCAATTAGCCAAGTAGTAAAGTGATAAATTGATAATAAATGCAACCACTTTCTTTTTTTAATTTAAAAGTAACGATACATTTTTATTGTTATCCAGTGGCTGAAAAATAAATAATAAAAGAAAGGCCCAAAATTTAACAGATGATAATGTCAACATGAAGTAATCCAACCACCTTCTTGTCCTATCTTCCTGACAAAAACCGGTTGATATTGGATGGATAATAAATGGTATTGTGTCCCACTTTCTTTCCTATGTCATCTCTATTACTTCTTCATCTATAATTTCAATCCAATTGCAGATGTTCATTCGTACCTGTATGGCTTTCAAACTTAACGAATTATTTTACACACATCTTTCTTGATTAAATTTTAAACTAATCTATAATTAATTACAAATTCCATTATCAAACAATAACGTGCATTAAAGTATCAGATTTATTTGGTATTTGAGAAGATAATTTTAAGAAAAAAGTACTTTAATAAGAGGATATCTGAAATTTACTTAGTTTATGAGTAAAATGATTGCATGATGAATGAATTGATTTGATAATGAATAATAGAAATTAAAAGTAAGCAATCAAATGGAGGTGAAAAAGAAAGGAAAGAGTTTTACAGGAATGATGAAATGATACGTTAAACGATAATAAACAAATGATAACTCCTTCCTTAAACAAGTAAACAAATGGGAAATAAACTGTATAACGGTACATTTAAACTTGCCTCTTTTGCCTACAATAATAAGTTCCATGATTTTATAATTAGATAATTAGCATGCAAATAAATAAACTATTATAGTATGTCAGTGTGTGTGTGTGTGTTGTGTGTGCGTGTATGAGTGTGTGTGTGTGTTGTGTGTTGTTGTGTGTGCGTGTATGGTGTGTGTGTGTGTGTGTGTGTGTGTGTGTGTGTGTGTGTTGTGCGTTGGCATGTTTGTGTGTGTATGTGTGTGTGAACGGGACGATATAAAGGATCTTAGAGAATAACTTTTATCAGTTAAAATGAGAAATCTTTGAAATGATAACAATTCGTTTTGTATAAAACAGACGAAATAAATAAATTGTTCGTATCTATTTGAATTTCGTTAACATAACACTAAAATTAACCACGGTCGGGATGGGTTAAAAATATTCCCTTCACCCACTTCCGCCCACATTTATGCATCCACCCCCGCTCCGACCTTCGTTTTGCTTCAGTGTTTTAGCTGAATGTAATTAAATCACCGTTTTCAGCGAGAGCGTTTTGGGTCTTTTGTCGTATTTTGCAACTCAATTCATTTGTTTTTTTTTTCCTTCAACTTGAGAAATTAATTTCCTCTGAAGTAATTAATTTGAGTAATTGATTGTTTAAGAAGTAATTACTGGTGGAAGAATCGATGTATTACTATACAGATGTGTGTATGTGTGTATAAAAATGGGAATTGCAAAAGTATGGAAATGTTAAGTAAGGAAATGAAAGATATATAAAGAATGATTAAAGATATGTACG